TTACTACAAGTATGGCTATTATTATTATCATTATAACAACCAGTCTGGCAGTATATCCAGCTGTTCCTGGTCTCTCTTCTCTCTCCACAGCTGAATTGAATTGAATTGAATTGAATTGAATTGAATTGAATTGAATTGAATTGAATTGAATTGAATTGAACTGAACTGAAGTGAATTGAATTGAATTGAATTGAATTGAACTGAACTGAACTGAAGTGAATTGAATTGAATTGAATTGAGAGTGTGACAAGCAACTGTTTCTAGTTTAAAGTCAAAGGAGATGATGTTCGCTAATTATCTCACTCCAATCCAACCTCATAAGAAAAATGTCATTTTTTTAATCTAATATTATAGTAAATGCATTATAAAAAAGGCCATTATTAAGCACTGAAGATACATCTGTTAAGTTATTGTTCAGTTATCTGTACATATGTGAGAATTAATGTATGAAAAGATGAAGAAAGCCCATTGATACCACACCTGCACACCAAATTTTCTGGCGGCATCTTTGTCAGTCTGAAATGTGAAAGGCATATCTCGTAGTGACAGATTCACAGAGAGTTATCACCCCACTCTGCATGCAGTTCCTGCATGTTTTGGTTTTCCAGCCAGCAAACTCATTTTTTTTCAACCTCATTTTTAGCCGAGGCAGGCACCTGTTTTCAGTATAAAAACCTATTGTATAGTACCTACTCGGGTCCGAATGGCAGGCAGCTGAAGTTAGCAGCTGGCTGTCATTTTTTTAAATAAACAAAAGACTGTTGTGTCTGTGTCTGAATGTGTGTGTGCCTGCTTTTGCCACTAAAATGTCTACCAACATACTCCTGGATCTTGTGCCGTCATTGTTGATTTTTTGTCTCTCCCTAAAAGCTCATGTATTTGGATATGAATTGTGCACTGCTACTAACCCTGATAAGTTTGTGCCAGCACATTTTGTATATCAGCTGTGATTGCTGTGTCTTTTTCTGGGTTTCTGTGTGGATCCAGCTGCATATCCAAACTGAAAAGTCTTCACATGATCTGAAGGAAACAGTCTTTTTGAAAAGTGTAAGCCTTTTGAGGGCGACTTTAACACAACATCATAAAAGAAGCATAAAATGAACAAAGCCTGTATTGCAGTTAAAGGTTAAACGTCTCCCTTCTCAGTTGGCCAGCTTCACCCTCCACCACTTGTCAATCATCTTAGTGGTCTCTGTGCCTTGAAACAGCATCCAAGGATGAAGGAAAATGCAGCCAATCTGCAATAATCAAAGCAGTGCTGATATTTTACTGAAATCAGTGGTTTTCTCTTTTGTACCACTTTCCTCCTTTGTTGACACACAGTTTCTCCAAACCTTTACTTTGAAACATGCTCACTCCAGGCCATGCCTCTGTGGTGCAAAAAATATATGTAGAGAATATATCTTGAGCATGAAAATTAAATCTTTTGGAAATAGGGAGTTCCCAAAAAGATATAGATCAACATTTCGGGAAACACACTAATTCTCTTTCTTGTCAAGAGAAAGATGAAAGTATTGATACTCCTCTCATGCCTGCCTAGTAAATGTAAAGGTAGTACCAGTATCTTAGCTTCGTTTAGCTTAGCTTAGCATAACTTGGTGGAAAAAATGAAAGCAGGGGAAAACAGGCTCTATCCAAAGCTACCTACCAGCACCTCTAATTACGTGTTTCATCTCATGTTTCCAATCAGTGCAAAAACTGAAATGTTAAAATGAAAAACAATAATTTCTTTTGAATTATTTAATAAACCCACAGTGAGCCATAAATAAATAAAGTTCATTTTAATGCCAGGCAGCAGGCAATGAGAGAATTTGTCTGGATTAGAGTTTATGTAGGGAGGTCATGAATTCACTGACTTTTTCTCTGTCTGCTCAGTCCTCTGTTTATGCCAAAGAGATACCAGAGTTTCGTTAGTTAATAGGCTAATCAATGCTTCACTGATTACCATCACTGTCATATTCACTTTCACATATTCATATTCACTTTAATACTGGTCACAACCTCAGTCCTCAGTATAAATCACAGACTGCCAACGCCATGCTGCATTTACCTAGTTAAGAGTACTGTCTGTCAACCTGCTGATCTGCCAGACAATCACACATGTTGGAAAGCCGTTCAGACAGCAAAACAGTCTGTCAGTCAGTCAGCTGGAGGCACAGCAATCATACCAGTCAGGTGTAGTGGTGGGTCAGCAGGTCATCTCCTCATCTCTCACCCGGTCAACCAGACAACCAGCACAACAGGAAGTCAATCAGTAGCAGGCGTCAAAGTCATCTTACTAAACAGGCAGCTGTTCTGTCATAACATGAATCGTTACTGTACACAAAGGTTTTCACTGTACAGAAGAAGATTACTAGGATGGAGGAGTCAGTGATTATGGTTATTCTGATCGAAATGTGCTTTTCAGAGGATGAGCCTGTCACACAAAAGAGTCTCAATTTTGAAGAAAATAGCATACTGACAAATGGATCACGGTGCTGTTGTGGTAAAAAAGTGTTCTATCTTGAAAAGAAAAAAGAACAGACCGTGGATGCAGAATTAATTTATGATGACCGTGTGTCATCCTTGTCCTGTTTTTTTTTTAATTGGGACAATGTGTAGCTAAATTGTGGTCAGTGTATACAGTCAACATTGAGGTTGAAAGAATAGATTGTCAACCAATTATTGAAAATATATAAACACATATGACAGCATTATCTTCCTCTTTAAATTTGACAGGTTTGTTTACATTGTTAGTCAACTGGATGACGACTATATTGCAAGCTATCATAATATTTGACAGTTGTTCCATTAGTACAGTTGATAGTGTTATTGGAGACACTGCTACTGCATGTTTTAATGTGGGATGAGCATGTAACATGTATGAACGCGATGTGTGTACAACATATGGTGAGTTTCAGCTTGGTGTGGTTTGATGGATCGTGGCGTCACTTTGTAATGCTATAGATGATACACTGTGTTATGGTTGTCCAACTCTGGTGGTCCGGGTGGGGTGCATGAGGTTACGTTAGGGTCAGCACTCTCTCTGTGTCTTTCTAAAACCTAGCTGTTGACATAAATCAATTAATCAATTCATTATTTTTTCATACGTTGGAATGGATTTACTTCCCACTGTGGCTTGTCATGTTATTACAGTCAGTTGAAAAAACATGCATGGACTGTAATTTCTGGTTAAGTCATCTGTGAGCAGGAGGAAAATGAGATCTTTTGAACAGTAATGGTTAGTGTCACATTGATAGTTATTCTCTTTGTTGCCTTATTACATCTACTTCTAGGAAGTGTTTCCACATTTTCTATTTAAAAAAGGACCTTAATTATTCAAATGTGATGGATGCATACTTTCTGTTGCTACTGTAGTGGAACAGCTTTTACTTGTATTCGTACTCTAACAAATTAGCAACTGTTTAATTACATTTATCTATACACCCAGTATGTTACAAACTTTGTAATGAGACAATAAGCTAAACTAATGTAACATGAAATGTTCTTTAATGAAACCTTGCACCCACTTAGGTTACAGTTTTGTTTTGTGTTGTGCTAAGACTAGAACTAGACTTCAATGTGCTGTAATTTTTTGAATAATACTCAAATAAAATACATTTCCGGGCCTGATCTGGGCCAACTATTGCACATAGAGCTCAGTTTTGGAAATGGCAAATGTCATATGGGCCAGATTCGGCCCATATGCAACAAACCAGTTTTAGGGTGAGTTTTATATTATGACAGCAAGACCAGGTGTGTTGTTTTTACTTTCTGTTTTTACTTGTTACTTTTTATTATTTTTTCTTTTTACTGTTTCCATTCTGTTTCCATTAAAGTCATTGCAGGGTGAAAGAGCTTGAGGCTATTTTGGTGCTCTTTTGCATGTGTGATGTAAAAAACGACCATTTTAATGCTGTAGCCACAAATAGTGGATAGTGTGAACATATTTCAGTGAGGAAAAGCAGTTGTGTCTTCCATTTTTCCATGGCCTGAATCTGGACCATATAAGGCATGATTATCAGATGATATTGGACCAATTCTGGTGCACACATGGAAAATATTCAGCCAATACCAGAGAATAGCAGAAGTATATGGGCCAGACCCAGCAAGGGACTCAGGCATATGTTGGGTCAGAAGTTTCATTTTGCTATCTGGTGTATTCCAGTAACTACATGCTATTAAATATTAATGCTGATTTTTTTTATATAGATCCATTGTAATGTTTTTCATCTCTCTCTTAATTTGGAATGGTTTTATTCAGTTCACAAAAGGTTCAATTGGCAATATCAATGTTGGAAACTTGGATGTCTTGTAATATATAAAAATAAATAAAAATCACACTTCAAAAGAATTCTTCTGTTCAAAAGACATTTTTGCAAGTGGACTCACAAGCACAGCATTTGAATTTACAATTATCTGTCTGCATTCACAAACATTAGGACATTTATGACGTCCATTCTGCTCCCAGCATGCTTACATCAGAGCGAGTTAATCACTGTCATCCATTTCTCTCTCTCTCTGTGCCCCTCCCTGTTTTCTTCCTGTATTCTTCTATCGATCTGCTCACTTCCTCCAGGTCTTGAGGAAATGGTGATGTTTAATGGCAGCCTCCGCCTGAGGTTGTTGGAGTCCTAACAATCATAGAGCCATCATCAAGGGAAAATCTCTCATCATGGCAACCTCCTACCTCCAGTCTGCACTCCTTGACCCCTCCTGTAGAGGCTGTAATTGCTGAGGGAGGGTTAGTGAGAGTAAGACAAGCTTGCCTGTGAAGACAATCTTCCAAATCATGTAGTGTAACTTTCTCCAAGGAGGGGGGAGGGTCTACAATTGAGTCTGATTTATTTTTTAATTATTTCTGTTTATCTCCGTAACAGATTTGTACTTGGTTAAAAAGTTTATGTGTGTGTGGATGGAGAGTGCGAGGTGAGGAGAAAGCGACAGAGGAAGAAAGAGAGAGAAAGAAAGAAAGAAAGAAAGAAAGAAAGAAAGAAAGAAAGAAAGAAAGAAAGAAAGAGATGGTCCTCCACACCACCCCTTACTCCAGTGCCTGTTTGCACTTCCTGGACGGCTTATCATGGAGCTTGGTGTTCCCCTGCTACTGGCTCCTGGACCGGCTCCTAGCTTCATGTGTGGCCACCTCACTGGAGAAGCGCCAGCGCTCCCAGGACCCCTGCTCCTTCCTCACCCTGTGTGTCCTGATCTCTGCACCCTTTTACCTGCTCCTCCTCCTCGCCTCCCTGCCTTTTGCCCTTCTGGGCTTCATCATCTGGGCTCCCCTGCAGGCCATCCGCCAGCCCTACTTGTACACCTACCGCAGGTTAGTGTTGAACATGGTGAAAGTGACTTACTACTTCTAAAACTATTTCTTGTTGTCAAGTTACATATCAAATAAGACAGTTGGAGACATCTATGACAAGACTGTGTGTTGTTAGTGCTAGTGTTTTTCTAAATTTAGACTGCATGCCACATAAACCCTATAATGTCTCATTCTCCTCCCTGGGTTGTTCTGCTCCATATATATACATATATATATATATATATATATATATATATGTTGTGTGTTTTGCCAGTTCACACTTAAAAAGAACTAGTTCAAAGTTCAGTTCATACAGATTAAAATTAACTAGTTCACATTCATAGTTCATTTTTAAAAATTTTGAACAGTTCCAAACAGCTCCAAATCATTGCCACTCCCAAACTAAATGAATTATTGTACACCACTGAAGAACCACAGACATGAGTTATATTTAAAATCCCTATATAAATATAATCCTTCTGAGTCTTCACTTGTTTGTTCATAAAACTGCTTCAAATGCTCAAACAAATTGGCTTCAGCAGTAGTAGATGCGTCTGTACCGTCTGCACTGTCTGTACCGCTAGCACCAGCCAAGCTGGGCCGTGTCTATAGAGACGTCATGCGGTGTGCCGTAAAACTGTCATAAAAACGTGAGATGAAAGTGTCATAAAACTCCAGTGAGAGTGACAGAGAATTTGTAAACTGATTCGTTCAGTTCAGGCACAAAACTGTATACATAAATACATGTATACATATATATAGTGTTGAGTGACCATGTTGTACCTACAGTGCATGACTGGACACTGAGGCATCAATAGTTTCATTTTGGTTAAGGTTATGACAGGATTGTGGTTTTAGTTAAATGTTAATAAAGTAAACGTGTCATGTCTGGTGCTTCAAATCACTGCTGACTTTTTGTACATAAACAAGACCACTTGGACCACTGCTTTGAGTGGCTAAACAACACTCAAAAAATGTTTGAGCTTTACTTACTACAAATGGATATCGTAGGAAAAGAGCAGTAGGAAAACAAATTACATTTTCATTGAGTGTTATGCAGAAATGTTCATTAAAAAATATTCTTCACTATGTTGATAAAATTAATTATTCAGGTGGTATTATTATAGTATTAAATGTATTTGCTGTTGCAATTAAAGTAGTACTATTTTTGCAAAGAAATGTCTGAGTGGATATTAAAAAGGTTTGAAAAAAACAAAATGTGACAAAGTGCAATAAAAATGGACATAGCAAATAAGTCATGACATACAAAAAGCATGTGACTTAAACATCACGCATAACTGAAGAAAAAATGGTGGTATATGAAAACATCAGATATTGTATACTGTAAACTTCCTAGAATTAATGCATGAAATAAATATAAATTCCATATTTGAAGATTTGAGTGGGACTCCTTGAATTATGTAATCTCAGTGGTACCTGACTCTGGAAATTCAGTTGGAAATTTGATTAATGTTTGGTGACTTTCATGGCCATTCAAGCCTTGGTTCAGTGACTCTTGATTTTATCATCAATAAAAACGATGTCTGTCTTAGAAAGTATATGGTTCTTTGATGGAAATTAAAAAGTTTGTGACTGTCTACATCAAATATATGGATAGACATTAATTATGAATCAAAAAAATTGCTTTTCAGTACAAAAAATCCAAATTAAGTTAAATTAGATAAAACTGATGGTAATAAAATAAAGCTATAGCCTTGTTAAATTAACAATGAAACTACTGTAATATGTTTAGTGACACTGAGGATATCATATAAAAAAAACTTTCATATAGGAATTAACAGTTTGTAAAAAATACTCCTGTAACCAGCATTTTGTTTAGATGGGAACGGACATAATTTTAAGTAGGCTTTAACAGATGATTGGCAATTTACTCTATCACTCAGTCATCAATATGAATGCGTATTAAACGTGATTGGATAAAAACACCATTCATCAGTGGTCTTTCGTTCTGATTTTCAAACTGGCTTTTCTGGAAAGAGCCTGTTTCATTGTCAGGTTTCCACAGACCTACACATCAAAATGGCTTTCTGAATCAATTTGAGATGAGAAATAGGCCATACAGTTGCAGGGTCATGCTTCATTTGATATCTAGAGAATCAATTGTTCACATAGTTCGGAGATTTGAGGAAGCAAAAAATGGAGTCATTATCTACTGTTAATTGTTTTCACATTGGTCTGGCTCCCAGCTCAATCAGTTTTCAGGGGGTGTTTGGTTGTTTAAACAACCAATGGCAACCCACCATAACCGCAAACTTTGAAATACTGTATTTAGCTGTTTACTGTGGAGGAGCAGCACTCTCTGCCAGTAACTTAGCAGATTCCCCAGTAAAACACAATGTAAAATGTGATAGATGATGTTTTTGTTATCTGTTATTGAGACTGTCCTGTGCAAAATGGTGCAGCAGCTTATTAAGACCCATAGTTACATTTTGTTGTTGGTCGACATCTAGTGGACATCTAGTGGCCGTAGTAATTATGACACGAGCAAAGGGAAAAGTGCAGTGGCGTAGTACATACAAAGTCCGTGTTAGGAGGAGGTTGGGGTGGATGGATGAGTCAACAAAACACAGGAATATGACACAGGAGATCGGTTTTCAATTCCCATGTGAAACCAGTAGTTTACAGTATTATGTGCATGCAATGCAATTATATTCAAGGCATATATAACTATCCTGCATACTTGTATAATGCTAGTGCATTCACACTATTGTTATTCAGATCTTTTTTTTATTCTTATGTTTCTTCCGTCCTGTTTTTGGGGCTTAACTTGTCCTATAGATTTTGTGCTACAGAAACTATCAAAATGTCCATTCAGGACATTTGTGCTATTATTTTTATTTGTATTATTAATAATTGTTGGAAAATTTTGTTTTCCTTGGTAGTAGACAAATTTGTCCCATTTCACAGAATGTGTCTACCTAAGCACAGACACAGAATTTGAACATGAGCCTTGAAGTGATGGGAGCACCCTCCACCTCTCCCATTGACTGCAATACAAATTCTGATTTCTCGAGGAAAGCAGAAGTGACCCTTATTTGTAACTTGCCCCTTTGTCCACATTTTTGGCTCTAGAAACACCAAAGCCACGTATCGTCTGTGGACGAAGGTGTATTTCCACTCATTTCCACCACTGTTTTTTCAGAAATAGCAGTCGTTTGAGAGGCTCGCCGAGCCAAAATCACACTCAGCTTGATGTCAAGTCTGTGTCTTCCAGCTAGACACAGCTGTTCAACATGGCTCGTTACGAGACTCTTCGATCTCTGTGATGTTTATAAACACAGCCACACACACACACACACAAACATACACACACACACACATGCTATTAACGCAGTATCAGGCAGAAATGGACAAAGCTGATTCTTATTGGCTAATTGGATTCATTAACTCTTAACTCTCCCCTTCTACTCTCAAGTAAATGAGCATGTATAGGGCAAATCAGCACTGTGTATGTGTGTGTGTGCTTTTGTGTGCATGTGCTTGTGTACAGTGGTGTAGTCTACTTTTTTATTGTAGTTGGTATTGCTACCCCCCCATTTTTATCACTTAAGGTAGGCTAAATAACAGAAACACCTCTGTATAATGTAATATCCTCCACAGTGATTAACTGAATCAATAATTGTCTAAAAGTATTTTAAAAATAAATTGCCAACTGAGTATATATTAGTAATTACTAATATACAGATGTTTGCTCAGGCTCCAAACTGCAATTAATTGGTTGATTTTCTTGCTGTTCTCACCTGGGAACTGATATATCTGGTAACCTAAAGATGGTATTTAATTTTATACTTTTATCATATATTATTATTATCATCATCCTATATAATGTTTTACCCCTCCATCCCCATTTTCAAATGTAAAGCAGTAACATGTTTACTCAGAAACATTTTAACTGACTTGCTTTGTTCTTTTTTTATCTGACAACACTTCTCCTGACGTCAGTGTGGTGTCTCATCTCCAGTCAGTTTCTGTTACTGGTAGAGTATATTACTGCTCTGTCTGGACACAGTTAATTTTGCTGTTTTCTTCATCACAGTGTCTAACTATCTGCTGTACATTTAAACTTACACTAGTTCTGCTCAAGCACACAGAGCTCTTTGCTCCTTTTAGCGAATTTCACTAACTCAGAAGTTGTTTACATGCTGTTCAGATCTGCTAGTGACTTTTGCTTAGCAGTTAATACTAGCTTCTCTCTCTCTCCCTCTATCTTGCTTGCTCGGTGTGGTGTTGTTGTAACTTCAGTGTAGAGGATTGTTATGTTAATTACATCTTCAGCGATGTCTACTGTCTTACTTACTAGGCACAGCTCCACTCGCTAACCAGAGCTAAGTGTACATTCTAACTGCCAGCCCTGAAAATTTTCCTCAAAAAAATCTTACAAAATCTTTTAAACACCACAATTTCCAAAATTCATTGACAATTTTTATATCAAAACTGTGATTTTGTCCTGTATCACCCAGTTTTGGTCTCATTCTGATATCTTTTACAGTTTTTGAGGAAATCCCCCCAAAGTGCAGAGAGGGCTGTCCAAAGCTCCCATAGATGCCCATGATGAACTGAGCTCTGAAGCTCTTGCCTTCAACAGAGTTGAGAGGAGTTTAAAAACTGCAATAAAACCTAAACCGTAAACTGTAGGTACACATATAAGATATCTATGTCTTTACCATGAATCTCAAAACGGGGCAGATTGTTGTAAACTGAGCAACTGGCTGAAAGAAAGCAGAACAATCAATTCATATCTTGTTTATTTATATTTTAAAACTTTTCTAGTATTGTTTCTATTATCCATGACTGTTCGTTGTTATTATTGTAACCATGACAACAAAGATCATCTCATGTTGAGGAAGTACTTATTTTAACCCAAATCATGATCTTTTCCTAACCATAACCAAGTAGTTTCTGTCCCTAAACCGAACCAAGTAGTTTTAATGCCTGAACCTAACCAAGTAGTTCTTGTGCTTAAACCTAACCAAGCCATTACCATTATTATAGTGACCTCG